CAGGTTTATGGCCCTGGGTCACCCCTCGGTCAGGCCTCCCGCGGACGGAAAATCTGGAAAGAAAAAAAAATTGCTACCGAAACCACAAGCACAAGCTCACACGCTCACACGCAACAGACCATAACTCGAGTTAGCACTATGGACAGCCGCTTACCGTACGATCCGCTATATCTCCAACCTGAAGAGGCCCATGGCTCCAACGAATTAACTAGTATCATATATCTCATGGCGACGCTTTTAGGGATAGAAATAGTCCCACGATTAATGCAAGAATTGCTTGCAACCGTGCCACAAACTAGACCAATACCCATTCCTAAGCACACCTCGCTGTTACGTGGCAGCGCATATGCGCATGAACTGCTCAACGGTCACCCTGAACGCATGAGAGAGACCTTGCGCATGGAGCCACGTTTGTTTAGGAGATTACACGAACTGCTAGGGTCAAGGGGCCTCCTAGTCGGCAGCCAACATATAGCTTCGTCCAAACAACTTATGATTTTCCTGCAGCTTGTTGGCAGCACTGCCACTAATCGCACCCTGCAGGAGAGATGGCAGCGTAGCGGTAGCACTATATCGCATTATGTAAGGGCCGTAATTTACGCGTTATGCCAGTTGCAGCACGATTTCATCCGGCTACCATCTGACAACCAGCCAGCAGTGTTCGACATGCGCCCAGAATACGCACACTTCCGTGACGCGATTGGTGCCCTAGATGGAACGCTCATTCCAGCACACATTCTTGCCGCACACCAACCACAGTTCTTCGATAGGCACGGAAACATATCACAGAACGTACTAGCTGCAGTGGACTTTAACGATCAATTTATATACCTCCTTGTAGGGTGGGAAGGGTCCACACACGATGCCACATTGTGGTCGGATGCATTGGCCCGTGGGTTCGCATTACCTCGAGGGAAGTACTTGTTAGCTGATTCAGGTTTTCGTAACGACTCTAACTGCTTAACTCCTTATCGAACGACCTTATATCACCTGCAAGAGTTCAGGGATGCAGAATTTTTACCACGCACACGCCAAGAGCTCTTCAACCGAGTCCACTCGGCGTTACGATCCCACGTTGAGTGTGCATTCGGACAACTCAAGGCCCGATTTCCTATCTTAAAGTTCATGCGGCCATACAGTTTTGCCACCCAATGCAACATTGTGATATGCTGCATGATACTCCATAACTTTGTGAAGCGCTTCGGAGGTGAGGACTACGAAGAGGAGCACACGAATCGTCGTGTGGAGCCCGTTCCAAGACCACCGCGCCATGAACGGGGAGGAGATCCAAGACCAGTGCGGATTACAGCCTCAGCACAAGAGGGGCGCTCTAGACGGGACAGAATAGCCGCTTCTTTATGGGCCTCGCGTCGTCCAGGAGTTACCACGCGATATTAGAGCCATTTCTGTATTCCAAGACCTCAAATTCATTGTATGCATGCATTGCCTATCTTTTGTCAAGATTCAAAGTAAACGGCCACACTAAACAAACTCCGGTTGCATGGTTTACCACGATGCATGGTTTCTACATCACATCATGAGTGGCTGGTTATCATGCACCCTCTCCATCGGTTACTTCTACCACTAGAGCTCCCTCTTTTCCATGAAGTCCTTTTGCTCCTCTCTGCTGCCTCTCACCCCTCTGCACACTCTCTTTTTGCCCTCTCCTCCCTGCCCATCTCCTCATCTCCTCCCTCTGCTCCCTCACCACCCTCCCCTCCTCTCTTCCGTCTGCTCCCTCTACCGAGTCTCCAGCCTTTCTTCTACTCCGCTATCTCATCTCGTCCCTCTCCTGTGTTATCGGGGTCGTGAAAAGGCGACCGGGCATCCGACTCGAGCGAGGACGCCGCAATGAACATGCGCCTCAACCCGTCATCCATGTTTTCAAACGCCACAGCGTCGCGAGGGTTTCGAATGAGACGTGTGATCGCGACATATCTGTGCGCATACGAGACGTTGGTCATGGCTGTTACTATTCCTGTCGCTCGTGCAAGTGACACGTTTGAGTCTCCTGCGAAATGGGAAAGGATGAGTTTCAGGTGTGCATGACACCGGACAGGGGACTTTGCATCGAGTGGGCGAGTCGCGCGCGTTTTTTTTCTAGAGAGATGCAACGTGAGGAGGGTCAATGCGGCGTGGTGCGGGGTGGCGGGAAGATAGGATGAGATGGGAGACTCGAGGACAGGAGGCAACAAAGGGTGGTTGCGGAGCGTTGGCTGTGAACGCTCCTTTGCGTCTCATCTTCATTCGTGAAGGGTAACTCACGGATCTCGACTATGAAGGACCGAGTGGGAGGTCCGTAAACATGGGCGAGGGTGGCTTCCACAAATCGCTATGACGTTACGCCGGTGCAGAGATCTGGTTCACGCCGATATGTTACCGTGCCAGGTTAGAGAGGTGAAGGGTCCCGTCATGCGCAAAAAGAAGCCTGGGCTGGTGCTGCCTAAACCACGAGGAGACAGTCACAAGTGAAATCGGCAAGGTGGGGCGTCGTAGTGGGCGAGCTAGAGTCGTCGTACAGCACACTACTGCTGCTAGGTATGTCGAGGACGTTGCACTGGGCTGCTGTTCGTGTGTTCGCGGGGCCTTTTGCTGGCGATGCACATGTTTAAAAATACCCCCAATCTGGGCAGGAGGGCACTTGGGGGACGCAGGACTTACCCCCCACGCTGCCCGAAATGGAAGTCTCAATTAGGCGGAAGATGGGTACTCACGTTGAAAAGATGAGTACCCATCTTCTGGCCTTCCCTTCTTGTGATTGGTCGTTGTCTGACTTCTGGGCCCACGTCAGGCTTGGGGTTGGGCGAGAGGTTCGGAGTTGTGTGGGGTGGGTAGCTCGGAATGAAGTCTTGTCGCACGAGGGTCGCAGGCGATTTTGGTCGTGCCGAACCACTCTCAACGGCCAACATGAACAATTTTCAGGCTCCCAACGGCCAAGATGACCTGTTTTTAGTGCTCCCGAAGTGCTGCCGAACAAGGCCACTGTAGTTGTGATGCTGCTGAGCAGGGAAATGACGGAACTAGCACTGTTCTGTCCAGCACAACGACTTCCGTCAGCGAAACGGCCAGAAATCCTGCTTGAACGAAGCGAGCCATCGAAGAGGAGAGTTGACCAGGCGAAGCGCGAAGCTGTGGTTGGTGGGGTTCGAGAAACGTGTTATACCACGTCAGGTCTGGGCAAGGTGACCCCAGGAATCTTGGGTGGAAACAACCAACGGACATGAGCCTTGGGAATGCCCGTGCGGAACAGTGCAGGCTGACATGTCTCCCTCCCACGTGTGCCATCCCAGAGGTTGGGAACTGAAGGGGTGCCCTGGTTACTGCTGTGTTACAGAAAACGCAGGTTCATGTTAATAGCACGTATAGAATAATATGCCACTCCGCTGGGTAACGAGAGATCATAAGGCGTATGAGGATTTAGGTCAACAACTGAATAGCCAATGCCTTTCTGCCAACGTTGCGGTCCGGACAGAAAAAACATCGATAGAAAGGTAGAGGGCAGAACCCACTCAGAGTTCGCCACATGTGGCGCACAGGACAGCAAAGCACGAGTCACCACAGGCAGCCTCTCTAAAACGCCAGAGCTGACTCATTTGTGGCGTCGAGGTCGCCACGTGACCGCCTGTCCAATCCACCTTCAAGCGTGTGGTGATGTGTCTGCTTTCGCGAACAGATGTGTCCACTTCAGCATTCTGTCAGAAACTCTGGCGGAAGGGGAACAGCCCCATCTCATTGCACCGCGAACATCTGCGACTGCCTTCGCCAAACAAAGGTAGCCCAGTAACTTGATTCGCAGCAAGTGTGAACCAATCAGAGGCAAAATATGCACGCCACCCTGCGCTCGCTTACCTCAGGCTATCCAGTTTTGGCAGCCTATCTTGCCAGGTTAATCCTAACCAGCCCCGCACTCTGTTCGCTTACCTCTCCTACTGCTGAAATACGTCTCACCCCGCGCAACGTGGAAGGGGAGTGTGAGGAGGACCGAAGCGTCGCGGGGCTAGTCGTTTTCGCATTTCTGTTCCGCGATATTGACGCGGGAACCGTCAGGACATGCGAAGCCTGAAGCAGAAATAAGGAATTCCCTAATTTTGAGGCAGGCAATGGAATCCTAATCCAAATGGCAGGCCCTGGCAGCCTAATTCAAGCGTCTGCTTGAAAAGGCAGCCTGACATGATGCTAGTTGAGTGAGCGTCGAGCACCCCCATCCCTTCCTTTCCGCCCTCCGCGTCCACCCTCCGCTTCCGCCTGCCGCTTCCGCCCTCCGTTTCCGCCCTTCGTCTCCGCCCGTCGTTCCCGCCATTCGGGGGTCCGACTCCGCTTGCCCCATCGGCGCGCAATGGCGCAGCTGCGCCACCACTGCGTTACTAATTCCGCCACCTATTCCGCCAACCATTCCGCCACGCATTCCGCCACTCTTCCCCTCACCCACTTGGCTGAGGCGCGGAGGACTCCTTTCGCTCCCCCTCTCTTGCGCGCGCCTTCGCCATTTCCCAAAGCCGCCATAGCTCTCTGCGTAACCAGCGGCGTGAAATGCGCTTCTGGATTCGGTAGGTTCGGTCGGAGCAGTAGCGAAAGCTCACGGCTCGGGCCGTCCCAAGGTCCGAGGCTCGAGTCAGGTCCGAGGTTCGGGTCAGGGTCAGGGCTCGGATCACACCATGCCGCCTGGCTCGGTTCAGGTCTGGTCCGGCGCAGCAACGCGACGGGCGTAGGGGGGAGGCTCGGGAGCAGCCACAGATGTGACAGTAACGGGGGGCAGGTTGGCGGGGAAAGCGGGAGGCGGGGGGCTGCTAGAAGAGCAAATGTGCGTATAACGAGGGACGTGCGGGCGGCGGTGGGGGTGGAGATTGGCTCGTCGGCGGCTCAGGATGTGATTGGAACGCTGGGGCTCGATACACTCACGTTCCTGGTGGCCACCGTCATTGTCATCCCCTTCTTCCGCAGCTTCAAAGCCAGCCCGGTGAGACATGAAGGAGGTGAGATGCGTCTCTGAGGTGCTAAAAATGGATGTGATTGGAACGCTGGGGCTCGATACACTCACGTTCCTGGTGGCCACCGTCATTGTCATCCCCTTCTTCCGCAGCTTCAAAGCCAGCCCGGTGAGTTGCGATGCGAGGGAGGCTCGGGAGATGGGGAAATGCTTTCCGAGGCTAAAATGAGAAGCCAGTTCAGAGGGCCTCTCCAGTTCAGCCCCTGTGAACGGCCAAGAACGGCCAAGAACGGCTCTCTGGCAGAGAAAGGCTATTCAGATTGTACCTCTATCTTCCTTCCCCCCCTCTTGACCTGCCCTTCTCTCTCCCTCCGTCCCTCACCTCTCTTCCATCCCATCCCTCTCTGTGTGGCTTCCTGCTTTCTGGAGTGGCACTCAACCAGCCGCGGCTCATCTCATCTCATCTCATCTCATCTCATCTCATCTCATCCCCTCTAATGAAACGTCTCAGAAAAATCCCTCTTCTCCTCCCCCCGTGCCCCCCTCCCCTCGCCCCCATGCCACCACCATCTCATACCCAGCTTTGAGACGTCTCATCAAAACCCGACGTCTCATCAAAACCCGACGTCTCATAAAAACCCGACGTCTCATCAAAACCCCTCGTCTCCATCCCCTGGCACCGCTCTCCCTTCTCTCCCCCATGCCACCATCATCAGATTCTCGGCTTCCTGCTCTCAGGCGTGGCGCTCAACCAGCTGGGGCTCATTCGCAACATCTTGGCAACGCATGAACAACCCTCCTCTGCTCCTCCACCCCTCTCTCCTTCCCCTCCCTCCATCAGATTCTCGGCTTCCTGCTCTCAGGCGTAGCTCTCAACCAGCTGGGGCTCATCCGCAACATCTCGGATGTCAAAGCACTCTCGGAACTCGGAATCCTCTTCCTGGTAAGCTGCACTGCACCCGCTGCACTCGCTCACTGCTCAAGAAACAGCTCGAGCCTCTGTTCTGCTTTTGCTCTCTGCTGATTTGCAACATCTCGGATGTCAAAGCGCTCTCGGAACTCGGAATCCTCTTCCTGGTAAGCCGCACTGCACTTACTGCGCTGCACCAGCTTCACTCACTGCTCAAGAAACGCATTGCCCAAGAAACAGACCCAAGCCCTGTTCTCGCATTGCTCTCTGCTCTAATCAGCAACATCGCGGATGTCAAAGCACTCTTCGAACTCGGGATTCTCTTCCCGGTAGGCTGAGCAGCACTCGATGCTCAACAAACAACTCCAGCCTCTGTTCTCGTATAGCTCTCTGCTCTCTGCTCTCTGCCCTCTGTCACTATTGACCTTACCTTAAGGCTTCAACTGCTTCAGATCTGAACCCACTTCCCGATGTTCACCTATTACCTGTCGTTCCTCCATCCTACCCCCCCTTACATATGCTCCTCACAGCTCTTCGAGATGGGGCTGGAGCTGTCTATCGAGCGACTGAGGGCCCTTGCCAAGTTTGCCTTTGGCATGGGCCTGCCGCAGGTGAGTGGCTGTAGCAGGTGGGGGACTGTGGGGTGCTGGAGGTGAGAAGCTGTAGCAGGTAAGGGGTTGTGGGGTGGCGGTGAGATGGGGCTGGAGCTGTCTATCGAGCGACTGAGGGCCCTCGCTAAGTTCGCCTTTGGCATGGGCCTGCCGCAGGTGAGTGGCTGAGGGCTGTAGCAGGTGAGTGTGATGTGACCTGACTGGTGAGAGGCTGTGGCAGGCATGGGCCTGCCGCAGGTGAGTGGGGTGTGGGGTGCTGTAGCAGGTGAGAGCTTTTGGTGTGGCAGGTTAGGGGAAGATTGGTATTACAGTCGGGTTTCGCTTGTCTTACTGAAGGTGAAGGCACGGTGCTCCTCACCACTCCTCACCACTCCTCGCCACTCCTCCGCACCACTCCTCACCACATTGTCCCCTCCCTGCAGGTGCTGCTCACAACGCTCGCCTTCGCAGCGTTTCAGCTCCCACCCAACAACGCCATCGGCACCCGACTGCTCGGTTTTGAAGCCCCTTCAGAGTCTCTCACCATTGCTCACCGCTCCTCACCGCACTTCCCCTCCCCTCCCTCCAACAGGTGCTCCTCACCACGCTCGCCTTCGCAGCGTTTGAGCTCCCTCCCGACCATGCCATCGGCACCCGCATGCTTGCTCGGTTTTGAAGCCCCTTAAGAGTCTCTCACCGTTCCTCACCGCTCCTCACCGCACTTCCCCTCCCCTCTCTCCAACAGGTGCTCCTCACCACGCTCGCCTTTGCAGCGTTTGAGCTCCCTCCCGACCATGCCATCGGCACCCGCATGCTTGCTCGGTTTTGAAGCCCCTTAAGAGTCTCTCACCGTTCCTCACCGCTCCTCACCGCACTTCCCCTCCCCTCCCTCCAACAGGTGCTCCTCACCACGCTCGCCTTTGCAGCGTTTGAGCTCCCTCCCGACCATGCCATCGGCACCCGCATGCTTGCTCGGTTTGGAAGCCCCTTAAGAGTCTCTCACCGTTCCTCACCGCTCCTCACCGCACTTCCCCTCCCCTCCCTCCAACAGGTGCTCCTCACCACGCTCGCCTTTGCAGCGTTTGAGCTCCCTCCCGACCATGCCATCGGCACCCGCATGCTCGAGTGGGCTGCCTCTGCCCGCCCTGACCTGGTGAGACCCCATCCCCTCTCAACCCTTTCCACACCTTTCCACCCCTTTCCATCCCTCCCGACAACGCCATCGGCACCCGCATGCTCGAGTGGGCTGCCTCTGCCCGCCCTGACCTGGTGAGACCCCATCCCCTCCCATCCCTTTCCACACCTTTCCATCCCTCCCGACCACGCCATGGGCACCCGCATGCTCGAGTGGGCTGCCTCTGCCCGCCCTGACCTGGTGAGATCCCACCCCCTCCCAACCCTTCTCACCCCTCCCCACTCCATCCCATCCCACCCAATAACGCCATTGGCACCGACCTGACCTAGAATGCTCTCCTTCCTTCGCAGGCATCAGTTCTCTGTTCTCCGCTCGCTGCCTCTGCTTGCCTCTGCTGGCCTCTGCTTGCCTCTGCTGGCCTCTGCTTGCCTCTGCTCGCCTCTGTTCACTGCCCATTCCCTCTGTTTGCAGTCCAATCTTTCTGCACGTGAACATTCCGTCAGTGGATGAGGCCCGCCCGCCCTAGTGACCATCGGGGCTGCTCCCTCCGTTTGTTGTCATGTCATCATTGCTACGCTTTGTTTGCCGCCCGGTATTGCTTTACAGGTGAACATCCGGTCAGTGGACGAGGCAATAGTGATCGGCGCTGCTCTCTCACTCTCCTCCTCCGCTTTTGTGCTTCAGGTGCGTTTTTAACCTCACCGTCTGTTGTGTCTGTTGCATATTCTCTCAAACAACCAGCCATCCGAGCCCCCTCCCCATCTCCTCTTCCCGTTTGCCGCCATACAGAGGTGACTTTTGAGTCGTCTCAAAAGTCACCGCGTTTTTAGCCTCACCGTCTGTTGTGTCTGCCGCATATTCTCTCAAACAACCAGCCATCCGAGCCCCCTCCCCATCTCCTCGTCCTGTTTGCCGCCATACACACTCCCTGTCCCTCATTTTGTTTCTTGGCCCCAGCCACTCGTGGAGTTTCTTTAGGTTCTAGCCTGTAACCGCGTTCTGCTCTCGCCTGTGCACATCTGTCTCTGCTCTGCGCTGGAGTTATCTGTGCCTGCCTCTGCCCCCCTGTGCTTTCCACTTTTGAGGCGCCTCAAAAATCTGTCTGTGTTATCTGTGCCGGCCTCTGCTCCCCTGTGCTTTCCTGCTCTCCTCAGCTGCCACCCGCGTGGGCTCAGCCACTCTTGGGATTTCTTTAGTTTCTAGCAGATAACCCCATTCTCTGCTCCCCTGTGCTCCCTTCCCCTCTCCTCCTTGCCTCAGCTGCTCTCAGAGAAGGGAGAGCTTGCCACCCGCGTGGGCTCAGCCACTCTTGGGATTTCTTTAGTTTCTAGCACATAACCCCATTCTCTGCTCCCCTGTACTCCCCTCCCCTCTCCTCCTTGCCTCAGCTGCTCTCAGAGAAGGGCGAGCTTGCCACCCGCGTGGGCTCAGCCACTCTTGGGATTTTACTGCTGCAGGACATAGCGGTGGTGCCTCTGTTGGTCATCCTCCCTATCCTTGAGAGCGGGGTGAGTGCTTCGTCGCAGCCATCGGATGCGGCTTTTGAGATGGTGGTGGTGAGCGGGGTAAGAGCTTCGTCGCAAAATTCGCATCCTCCCATCGGATGCGGCTTTTGAGATGAGATGTCAAGTCATTGCAGGAGGGTGTTTTTGAGAATTCTCGGAAACACCCTGAGAATTCTGAAAAACACCCTGCAGTATCCTTGAGAGCGGGGTGAGTGCCTCGTTGCAGCCATCGGACGCGGCTTTTGAGATGAGATGTCAAGTCATTGCAGGACATAGTGGTGGTGCCTCTGTTGGTCATCCTCCCTATTCTCGAGAGCGGGGTGAGTGGCATGAGTTTACTTATGAGAATTCTCAAAAGTGGCATGCCATGGTAAGTGGGGTGGGATAGGATGTGTGTCAAGCATGGCGGGGTAAGTGGGGTGGGATAGGATGCGTGTCAAGCATGGTGGGGTAAGTGGGGTGGGATAGGATGCATGTGTGTCACACATCCCCCCTTCCCCACTCGCTTCTCGTCTGACATAGCAGTAACCCCATGCATGTGTTTTGAGACGTCTCAAAACACTCCTTCTTTCACGTCTGACATAGCAGCAACCCCATGCATGTGTTTTGAGACGTCTCAAAACACTCCTTCTTTCACGTCTGACATAGCAGTAACCCCATGCATGTGTTTTGAGACGTCTCAAAACACTCCTTCTTTCACGTCTGACATAGCAGCAACCCCATGCATGTGTTTTGAGACGTCTCAAAACACTCCTTCTTTCACGTCTGACATAGCAGTAACCCCATGCATGTGTTTTGAGACGTCTCAAAACACTCCTTCTTTCACGTCTGACATAGCAGTAACCCCATGCATGTGTTTTGAGACGTCTCAAAACACTCCTTCTTTCTCGTCTGACATAGCAGCAACCCCATGCATGTGTTTTGAGACGTCTCAAAACACTCCTTCTTTCACGTCTGACATAGCAGTAACCCCATGCATGTGTGCCCCTGCAATTTGCAGTGCCTGACTCCCCGCTATCAGCACCATCCTTAACACATTCACAGATGACAGTCTGTTTCATCTCCAGGGACTCAAGTCCCTGCAGGGCCTGGGAGTGCTGCTCTACATGGGCCGGTGCTGTCCCCTTACCTTAGTCCTTCCCCTTGTCTCCTCCCCATCACCCTCCCCCTGCCACCCCTCCCCTCAACAGGATTTCACAGAAGACAGTCTATTCCCTCTGCTCGCAGCAGCGGGACTCAAGTCCCCGCTGGGCCTGGGCTTGCTGCTCTACTTTGCCTGGCACTACCTTTCACACCCACCAACACCCTCCCCTCTCCCTCCCTTTCTGCTTCCCCACAGGATTTTACCGACGGCAGGCAGTCTATTCCCTCTGCTAGCAGCAGCAGAGGGGCTCAGGTCTCTCCGAGTTGACTTTTGAGTCGACTCAAAGGTCTCTCCTCGGTCTGGGAGAGTGCTGCTCTACATGGGCCGCCTCTTTTCTCTTACACCCACCAACAACAACAACCCTCTCACCTCTACCTCCCCTTGTTCTTTCCCAACAGGATTCCACGGATGACAGTCTATTCCCTCTGCTAGTAGCAGCAGCAGGGCTCAGGTCTCTCCTCGGCTTGGGCGTGCTGCTGCTCTGCAGTCTGCATAGTTCCCTCTTCCCACCCCCCCCCTACCCCTTCCCCCTAACAGGATTCCACGGACGACAGTCTATTTCCACTCCTCGCAGCAGCGGGGCTCAGGTCCCTGCTGGGCCTGGAAGTGCTGCTCTACATGGGCCGGCTCTTTTCCTTACATGCCCACCAACACCCTCCCCTCTCTCTCCACTTAACTTGCCCCACAGCCCCTACTTTCTCCCCAACAGGATTTCACGGACGACAGTTTATTCCCCTTGTTGGCAGCAGCGGGCCTCAAGTCTCTCCTCGGCGTGGGCGTGCTGCTCTACACCAGGGCCGGCTCTCTTCCTTACACGCCCACCAACAACCCTCTCACCTCTACCTCTCCTTGTGCTTCCCCAACAGGATTTCACAGACGACAGTCTATTCCCGCTCCTCGCAGCAGCGGGCCTCAAGTCCCTGCTGGGCCTGGGAGTGCTGCTCTACATGGGCCGGCTCTTTCTCAGAAGGTTCTTCGAGTTTGTGGCTGAGTCGCGCAGCACAGAGGCCTTTGTGGCGCTCTGCCTCTTGACAGTCACAGGAACGTCCCTTATCACAAGCAAATTAGGATTCAGTGACTCGGTGAGTAGTTGCTACGGGGTTAACGGGTGGTGAACACCTCTCTCTAGCCGCTTTTGGGAGGCGATACTTGCAGCACAGAGGCCTTTGTGGCGCTCTGCCTCTTGACAGTCACAGGGACATCCCTCATCACAAGCAAATTAGGATTCAGTGACTCGGTGAGTGCTGCTGTTATCGCTGTACTTGTGGCCTTTGTTGAGTTCTTAGCCCCCTGAGGCAGTCCAGTCGCGCAGCACAGAGGCCTTTGTGGCGCTCTGCCTCTTGACAGTCACGGGGACGTCTCTTATCACAAGCAAATTAGGATTCAGTGACTCGGTGAGTGCTGCTGTTATCGCTGTACTTGTGGCCTTTGTGGCGCTCTGCCTCTTGACAGTCACGGGGACGTCTCTTATCACAAGCAAGCTCGGATTCAGTGACTCGGTGAGTGTGTTGGTTGGTGTACAGGGGGGTAACATGGTGCAGAGCTTACCTCTCTGCAAGCTTCTCTTGAAGGATTCGCGCAGCACAGAGGCCTTTGTGGCGCTCTACCTGCTCACAATCACAGGGACTTCCTTGATCAGAAGCAAGCTCGGATTCAGTGACTCGGTGAGCGAGTGCTGCCTTTGAGTCGACTCAAAAGGTGAGAGAGTGCTGCCTTTGAGTCGACTCAAAAGGTGAGTCAGTGCTGCCTTTGAGTCGACTCAAAAGGTGAGTCAGTGCTGCCTTTGAGTCGACTCAAAAGGTGAGTCAGTGCTGCCTTTGAGTCGACTCAAAAGGTGAGAGAGTGCTGCCTTTGAGTCGACTCAAAAGGTGAGCGAGTGCTGCCTTTGAGTCGACTCAAAAGGTGAGAGAGTGCTGCCTTTGAGTCGACTCAAAAGGTGAGAGAGTGCTGCCTTTGAGTCGACTCAAAAGGTGAGTCAGTGCTGCCTTTGAGTCGACTCAAAAGGTGAGTCAGTGCTGCCTTTGAGTTGACTCAAAAGGTGAGTCAGTGCTGCCTTTGAGTCGACTCAAAAGGTGAGAGAGTGCTGCCTTTGAGTCGACTCAAAAGGTGAGTCAGTGCTGCCTTTGAGTCGACTCAAAAGGTGAGAGAGTGCTGCCTTTGAGTCGACTCAAAAGGTGAGCGAGTGCTGCCTTTGAGTCGACTCAAAAGGTGAGAGAGTGCTGCCTTTGAGTCGACTCAAAAGGTGAGAGAGTGCTGCCTTTGAGTCGACTCAAAAGGTGAGTCAGTGCTGCCTTTGAGTCGACTCAAAAGGTGAGTCAGTGCTGCCTTTGAGTTGACTCAAAAGGTGAGTCAGTGCTGCCTTTGAGTCGACTCAAAAGGTGAGAGAGTGCTGCCTTTGAGTCGACTCAAAAGGTGAGTCAGTGCTGCCTTTGAGTCGACTCAAAAGGTGAGTCAGTGCTGCCTTTGAGTCGACTCAAAAGGTGAGTCAGTGCTGCCTTTGAGTCGACTCAAAAGGTGAGTCAGTGCTGCCTTTGAGTCGACTCAAAAGGTGAGTCAGTGCTGCCTTTGAGTCGACTCAAAAGGTGAGTCAGTGCTGCCTTTGAGTCGACTCAAAAGGTGAGTGAGTGCTGCCTTTGAGTCGACTCAAAAGGTGAGCGAGTGCTGCCTTTGAGTCGACTCAAAAGGTGAGCGAGTGCTGCCTTTGAGTCGACTCAAAAGGTGAGCGAGTGCTGCCTTTGAGTCGACTCAAAAGGTGAGTGAGTGCTGCCTTTGAGTCGACTCAAAAGGTGAGCGAGTGCTGCCTTTGAGTCGACTCAAAAGGTGAGTCAGTGCTGCCTTTGAGTCGACTCAAAAGGTGAGTCAGTGCTGCCTTTGAGTCGACTCAAAAGGTGAGTCAGTGCTGCCTTTGAGTCGACTCAAAAGGTGAGTCAGTGCTGCCTTTGAGTCGACTCAAAAGGTGAGTCAGTGCTGCCTTTGAGTCGACTCAAAAGGTGAGTCAGTGCTGCCTTTGAGTCGACTCAAAAGGTGAGTCAGTGCTGCCTTTGAGTCGACTCAAAAGGTGAGTGAGTGCTGCCTTTGAGTCGACTCAAAAGGTGAGCGAGTGCTGCCTTTGAGTCGACTCAAAAGGTGAGCGAGTGCTGCCTTTGAGTCGACTCAAAAGGTGAGCGAGTGCTGCCTTTGAGTCGACTCAAAAGGTGAGTGAGTGCTGCCTTTGAGTCGACTCAAAAGGTGAGTCAGTGCTGCCTTTGAGTCGACTCAAAAGGTGAGTCAGTGCTGCCTTTGAGTCGACTCAAAAGGTGAGTCAGTGCTGCCTTTGAGTCGACTCAAAAGGTGAGTCAGTGCTGCCTTTGAGTCGACTCAAAAGGTGAGTCAGTGCTGCCTGTATAATACCCAGTCCCCTCAGGTAGTCGCGCAGCACAGAGGCCTTTGTAGCGCTCTTCCTGCTCACAGTCACCATGAACCAAATTACTCACTTACGCTCTCCTCTCCTGTGCTCTCCTCCCTGTCTCTCATGCCTGCCTGCGCTTGCAGCTCGGAGCGTTCTTGGCAGGAGTGTTGCTAGCAGAGACCAACTACCGCACGCAGGTGGAGGGGAATGGAGGCACCATGAACCCAAACCCGCACTTACTCTCTCCTCTCCTGTGTTCTCCTCCCTGTCTCTCATGCCTGCCTGTGCTTGCAGCTCGGAGCGTTCTTGGCAGGAGCGTTGCTGGCAGAGACCAACTACCGCACGCAGGTGAGTGAGTGAGGCTGATTTAGCCCAAGCGTAATAAAAGTAAAGCACATCAGTAAAATCACATTGCCGCCTGCTGCTAGGTACTTCTTTCTAGGCGTGGTGGGGCAAACGGGTGATTCGCCTAATAGGAATTTACTTAATTGCTGGGTACTCAGTTCCTACTAGTTGACTTTTGAGTCGACTCGACTTTTGAGTCAACTCAAAAGTCAAACAGGTGATTCGCCTAGTAGGAATTTACTTCACTGCTAGGTACTCAGTTCCTACTAGTTGAATTTTGAGTCGACTCGACTTTTGAGTCAACTCAAAAGTCAAACAGGTGATTCGCCTAGGAGGAACTCACTTCACTGCTAGGTACTCAGTTCCTACTAGGTAAGTCACCCTGCTCCCTCTGTCTCAATTCATGCTTCGCCTCCATCCCCCATTCCCCATGCCCCATGCCCCATGCCCCATGCCCATACCGTCACGATCCAAACTCTGCGCCCAGGCGGAGGCAGACATTCGTCCCTTCAGGGGTCTGCTGCTGGGTCGAGTTTTGAGTCGTCTCAAAACTTTACTCCTGCTGGGTCGCTTCTTTGCCTCTTGCTGTATCTGTTCGCCTCACTTCACTTCACTTCACTCTTCACGTCCTCCCATACCATAACCCCCCATGCGCAGGTGGAGGCAGACATTCGCCCCTTCAGGGGTCTCCTGCTGGGTCTCTTCTTTGCCTCCTTGCTGTATCTGTTCGCCTCACTTCACTTCACTTCACTCTTCACGTCCTCCCATACCATAACCCCCCATGCGCAGGTGGAGGCAGACATTCGCCCCTTCAGGGGTCTCCTGCTGGGTCTCTTCTTTGCCTCCTTGCTGTATCTGTTCGCCTCACTTCACTTCACTCTTCACTTCACTTCACTTCACTCTTCACGTCCTCCCATACCATACCCCCCATGCGCAGGTCGAGGCAGACATTCGTCCCTTCAGGGGTCTGCTGCTGGGTCTCTTTTTCGTCACCACTGGCACATCCATTGATCTCAGCGTGAGTCAGTGGTGCCTTTACATGACCTCTTTCATACACAATATGGTTTCTGCTGGGTGTAAGCCATTGAACCGTAGTGTGTGTTGCTGGGTGTAAGCCATTGAACCGTAGTGTGTGTTGCTGGGTGTAAGCCATTGAACCGTAGTGTGTGTTGCTGGGTGTAAGCCATTGAACCGTAGTGTCTGTTGCTGGGTGTAAGCCATTGAACCGTAGTGTGTGTTGCTGGGTGTAAGCCATTGAACCGTAGTGTCTGTTGCTGGGTGTAAGCCATTGAACCGTAGTGTCTGTTGCTGGGTGTAAGCCATTGAACCGTAGTGTCTGTTGCTGGGTGTAAGCCATTGAACCGTAGTGTCTGTTGCTGGGTGTAAGCCATTGAACCGTAGTGTCTGTTGCTGGGTGTAAGCCATTGAACCGTGGTGTCTGTTGCTGGGTGTAAGCCATTGAACCGTAGTGTCTGTTGCTGGGTGTAAGCCATTGAACCGTAGTGTCTGTTGCTGGGTGTAAGCCATTGAACCGTAGTGTCTGTTGCTGGGTGTAAGCCATTGAACCGTAGTGTCTGTTGCTGGGTGTAAGCCATTGAACCGTGGTGTCTGTTGCTGGGTGTAAGCCATTGAACCGTAGTGTCTGTTGCTGGGTGTAAGCCATTGAACCGTAGTGTCTGTTGCTGGGTGTAAGCCATTGAACCGTAGTGTCTGTTGCTGGGTGTAAGCCATTGAACCGTAGTGTCTGTTGCTGGATGTAAGCCATTGAACTGTAGTGTGTGTTGCTGGGTGTAAGCCATTGAACCGTAGTGTGTGTTACTGGGTGTAAGCCATTGAACCGTAGTGTGTGTTGCTGGGTGTAAGCCATTGAACCGTAGTGTCTGTTGCTGGGCTCGGTTTCGTCACCACTGGCACATCCATTGATCTCAGCGTCAGTCCATTTGCGAATGCCCCTGTGCCTTGTCAGGTTCAGCCCAGCGTGTACATTTCAGCCTAGTTCCCATCTCTCGATTCAGATGACTTTTGAGTCAACTCAAAAGTCAAAAAGTCACCTCATTTGCGAATGCCCCTGTGCCTTGTCAGGTTCAGCCCAGCGTGTACGTACGTTGCAGTCTAGTTCCCATCTCTCGATTCAGTCTGCTTTCATCTATGAATGTGTTGAAGTGCATGCCCTTGAGTGGGCGAGACTATGCGCCAGAAAAAATGCACCTCCCACCCACCATGTGTGACTCTTCCCTCCCCGTCTCATCTCGTCTTGACTCACCCCTCTCCCACCCTCATTCTCCCTCCCCCCCCCCCCCCCCGGCATTCTCCTTCCCCTCCTCTTTCCCTTTCTGTTCCTTTCTCTTCTCCCACATCCCTCATTCTTCTCCACCCCCATCCCCTCCCCGGCGCACCACAGCTCCTAGCAGCGGAATGGCCCAACATTCTGCTCCTCCTCTCCGGCCTCATAGCCATCAAAACCGCCATCATCACGCCTCTTTCCCCTTTCTTTCTTCCACATACCTCATTCACCAAAGCTCTTAGCAGCGGAGTGGCCCAACATATTGCTCCTCCTCGCCGGCCTCATTGCCATCAAGACCGCCATCATCACGGCTCTCGGCCCGCGGGTCGGCCTCTCCCTCCCCGAGTCCATCCGCACGGGCTTGCTGCTGTCCCAGGGAGGAGAGTTCGCCTTCGTCGTCTTTGCCCTCGCCAGCCAGTGAGTCAACAGCCTTCAACCTCACTGCCGCCACCCTTTGCCATCTATTAGAGTGAAATGGTTACCATGCCTCTCCCCTCCCGGAGTCCATCCGCACGGGCTTGCTGCTATCCCAGGGAGGAGAGTTCGCCTTCGTCGTCTTTGCCCTCGCCAGCCAGTGAGTCAACAGCCTTCCACCTCACTGCCGCCACCCTTTGCCATCTATTAGAGTGAAATGGTTACCATGCCTCTCCCCTCCCGGAGTCCATCCGCACGGGCTTGCTGCTATCCCAGGGAGGAGAGTTCGCCTTCGTCGTCTTTGCCCTCGCCAGCCAGTGAGTCAACAGCCTTCAACCTCACTGCCGCCACCCTTTGCCATCTATTAGAGTGAAATGGTTACCATGCCTCTCCCCTCCCGGAGTCCATCCGCACGGGCTTGCTGCTATCCCAGGGAGGAGAGTTCGCCTTCGTCGTCTTTGCCCTCGCCAGCCAGTGAGTCAACAGCCTTCAACCTCACTGCCGCCACCCTTTGCCATCTATTAGAGTGAAATGGTTACCATGCCTCTCCCCTCCAGGAGTCCATCCGCACGGGCCTTCTGCTGTCCCAGGGAGGAGAGTTCGCCTTCGTCATCTTTGCCCTCGCCAGCCAGTGAGTGCACTGCCCTCCATTCCCTCAGCCTTCCTCTGCCGCCTAACTGAATCATGTGGCTATGATGTCTCCAACTCCCCCGTGTGTCCGCTGTGACTTTTGAGTCGACTCAAAAGTCACCTCATTTCCTCAGCCTTCCTCTGCGGCCTAGCTGAATCATATGGCTATGCTGTCTCCAACTCCCCCGTGTGTCCGCTGTCACTTTTGAGTCGACTAAAAAGTCACCTCATTCCCTCAGCCTTCCTCTGCAGCCTAGCTGAATCATATGGCTATGCTGTCTCCAACTCCCCCGTGTGTCCGCTGTCACTTTTGAGTCGACTAAAAAGTCACCTCATTCCCTCAGCCTTCCTCTGCCGCCTAACTGAATCATATGGCTATGCTGTCTCCAACTCCCCCGTGTGTCCGTCCGCTCCCCCCCCCCCCCCCGGTGTGGTTGAAGCCAAGAATCACAATGGGCTCTGCCCCCCCCCCCATAGTGACCCCAATCGGCTGCTGATCACCATGGTGGGTCATTCTCTCCACGTGTAATGAGTCGAGTTTTGAGTACCACCGTGGTTCTCGACTCAAAACTCGACTCACCGTGGTGGGTCGTTCTCTTCTCTCCATGGCTCTCACGCCCCTCCTCCACTCCCTGGGGCGGTCAGCAGCCCTCTTATCCACCCACTACCCCCTCTCTGTCTCCACGTGCCCTCTCTGCCTCCACGTGCCCTCTCTGCCTCCACATGCCCTCTCTGCCTCCACGTGCCCTCTCTGCCTCCACGTGCCCTCTCGCCTCCACGTGCCCTCTCTGTCTCCACGTGCCCTCTCTGCCTCCACGTGCCCTCTCTGCCTCCACGTGCCCTCTCTGTCTCCACGTGCCCTCTCTGTCTCCACGTGCCCTCTCTGCCTCCACATGCCCTCTCTGTCTCCACGTGCCCTTTCTGCCTCCCACGTGCCCTCTCTGTCTCTCTGTGCCAACCCCTTGCTGCCAGACTTGGTGTGCTTCCAGACGAGCTGAACCGGCTGCTGATCATCGTGGCCGTTCTCTCCATGGCTCTCACTCCCCTCCACGACTCCCTGGGGCGATCAGCAGTCTCTCACTTGCCCACTACCCCCTCTCTGCCTTACCCCTTCAACCCAAGCAGACTTGGTGTGCTTCCAGACGAGCTGAACCGGCTGCTGATCATTGTGGTGGTGCTGTCCCCTCCATGGCTCTCACTCCCCTCCATGGCTCTCACTCCCCTCCATGGCTCTCACTCCCCTCCATGGCTCTCACTCCCCTCCATGGCTCTCACTCCCCTCTATGGCTCTCACTCCCCTCCATGGCTCTCACTCCCCTCCATGGCTCTCACTCCCCTCCATGGCTCTCACTCCCCTCCATGGCTCTCACTCCCCTCCATGGCTCTCACTCCCCTCTATGGCTCTCACTCCCCTCCATGGCTCTCACTCCCCTCCATGGCTCTCACTCCCCTCCATGGCTCTCACTCCCCTCCATGGCTCTCACTCCCCTCCATGGCTCTCACTCCCCTCCATGGCTCTCACTCCCCTCCATGGCTCTCACTCCCCTCCATGGCTCTCACTCCCCTCCATGGCTCTCACTCCCCTCCATGGCTCTCACTCCCCTCCATGGCTCTCACTCCCCTCCATGGCTCTCACTCCCCTCCATGGCTCTCACTCCCCTCCATGGCTCTCACTCCCCTCCATGGCTCTCACTCCCCTCCATGGCTCTCACTCCCCTCCTCGACTCCCTGGGGCGATCAGCAGCCCTCTCACCCAGCCACTCCTCCCCGCTTGCTCTCCGTCTTACCCCTTCAACCAGGCTGGGAGTCCTTCCAGACGAGCTGAACCGTCTGCTGATCATTGTGGTGGTGCTGTCAATGGCTCTCACGCCCCTCCTCGACTCCCTGGGGCGATCAGCAGCAGAGGCGCTGGAGAAGCGCGAGAGGGAGAAGCAGAAGGCGCTAGGGGGGGAGGAGGAGGAGAACGGGGAGGAGGGGTTGGATGTGGTGGGAGGCGGTAAGAGGAAGGGGCGGAAGAAAGGCGGCGGAGGAGGAGGAGGAGGGCATGGGGTGAGTGGGAAAGGATGAATTATTCTTTGTGTTTTTGAGTCCTTCCATTCTCTGCGTTATTTTTGTTTACAAAGGTTTCCTAGTTTTGAGGCGCCTCAAAACTTGAGTCCTTCCATTCTCTGGAATATTTGTTTTACAGAGGTTTTCTGCTGAGTTTTTTTGTCTCCCTCCCTTACCCTCCCTACCCTCCCTCCCCTCAGCACACCTACCCTCTTAGTTTCATCCCCTTGTTTCTCTCTAACTCTTTTCTTCTCACCAATGCAGGGTCACTATGGGGGTGCGGAGCCGATTGTTATTCTTGGCTTCAACCACATGGGGCAGGTGAGAAATGGGGCAGGTGGGACGTGGGGCAGGTGGGGATTGGGGCAGGTGAAACTTGGGGTAGGTGAAGACTGGGGCAGGTGAAAGTTGAGGCAGGTGACATGTGGAGAAGGTCACACATGTTTTTCTATCTGAATTTTCCCTTCTGCAGCCCACCTGTCTGCTTCTGACAGCTTCTGAATTTTCCCTTCTGCAGCCCACCTGTCTGCTTCTGACAGCTTCTGAATTTTCCCTTCTGCAGCCCACCTGTCTGCTTCTGACAGCTTCTGAATTTTCCCTTCTGCAGCCCACCTGTCTGCTTCTGACAGCTTCTGAATTTTCCCTTCTGCAGCCCACCTGTCTGCTTCTGACAGCTTCTGAATTTCCCCTTCCTACCACTCTCTACCCACTCTCCCCTTGCTCCCCTCTCTCAGGTGCTCGCCAACATGCTATCCACGCCGCTAGCCACCATCTCAGGGGGTGTTGAGGCGCCTCAACAAAACTCCCTCCCTCCCTCCCACTCTCCCTTGCTCTCCCCTCTCTCAGATGCTGGCCAAACATGCTATCCACACGCCACTAGCAACCATCTCAGGGGGGTGCCCTGGGGGGGTGTGGTACCACCAGTCATACCCCTGCTCTGCTCTCCCGCTCCCCCACCCTCTCGTTCTCCCACTCTCCCACTCTCCCTTCAGGTGCTGGCCAACATGCTATCCACGCCGCTAGCCACCATCTCAGGCGGGTCAGGGGGAGATGCCCCAGGATGGCCATTCGTGTGCTTCGACCTGAATCCCAATCGCGTCCGGGTGAGTGCATGGGGGAGTAAGGGGGTGAGCGAGGGAGTGGGAGAGTGAGTGTGAGGGCGAGCGATGGAGTGGGCGAGGAGGAGTGTGAGGGTGAGTGAGGGAGTGGAAGAGGTGAACTGTTTTCAACTCGACTCGAAACATCTCAGGGGGGTCAGGAGGGGACGCACTAGGATGGCCGTTTGTGTGCTTCGACCTGAGTCCCAATCGTGTCCGGGTGAGTGCATGGGGGAGTGAGTGAGTGAGTGAGTGAGGGAGTGAGTGAGTGAGGGAGTGGTTACCCCAGGTTGGCCATTCGTGTGCTTCGACTTGAATCCCAATCGCGTCCGGGTGAGTGCATGGGGGAGTGTAAGGGGGTGAGCAAAGGAGTGAGAGAGTTGGTGGGAGATTGTCCGATTCACACCTGTAATTCGACACACCACTCTTCCCCGGCTCTACTCCTCTCCTCCCGCGTGTCCCTTCCTCTCCCACCCCCTTCCCCCACCCCCTCCTTCCCCCCCCCAGATGGGCAAGCGCCTCAACGCCACCCCCCTCCACCTCCCTCCCTCCCTTTCCCCCCTTCCCCTCCCCCCCCTCTCCCCGGATGGGCAAGCGCCTGGGGTGCCTATAGTTTGACACACTACGTATCCCCCCTCTACCCCACGTGCCCCCTCCCTTACTTCCCCTACCCCCCTTCTCTGTTCCGCCAGATGGGAAAGCGTCTCGGCTTCCCAGTCCTCTACGGTGACGGGTGCCGCCCGGCAGTGCTCGAGTCGGCCGGCATTCCGCGTCCGCTAATGGCCATTGTGGTGTACTCGGGGCGGCAGCAGTCGGTGTCTTCTGTGGAAAGTTTACACAATGCCTTCCCAGGGGTGAGTGGTGAGGGACTGTTGGAAAATCCTGCGGGACCTTTGGGGAGGTGTGGGGGAATGTACAGGAATGTTTTGGGGGGATTCGTGATGAGTGGTGAGGGAAGGTTGAGAATTCTCAGAAATGGAGCCTTCTTTCACCAGATGCCTTTTTTCTTTGCAATGCCCTTCAGCTGCTTCCCACCCACTCCCTCCACTCCACTCCCCTTCTTCCTTGCCCCATGTCACGCCGCTGACCATACCATGCATCCCGTCTCATCACCATCTTCCCATATACGCCCGAGCAATCACCTGGCAAAGCCGCCCAGGGATGCCAGTCACTTGGCAGAGCTCAGAAAGGGCTTCTCAGCACCCTCCCTGTTCCCTTTGTTCTCTCCCGCCCACTCCCTCTGTTCTTCCCGCCCTCCCACCAGCTGCCCATATACGCCCGAGCAGTGGACGCGAGTCACCTGGCGGAGCTGAGAGAGGGCATATTATCTCCCTCCCCCCTCTCCTCCCTCTTCAACACCCCCCTCTGCCCTTCCCCGCCCTCCCTCCCACCAGCTGCCCATATACGCCCGAGCAGTGGACGCGAGTCACCTGGCGGAGCTCCGAAAGGCCGGCGCCACAGGCGTGGTTCTGGAGAGTGCAGAGGTGAGCGAGACACGTGGGGAGTAGATTGTGGTGAGGTGGGGTTGGGACGCGGTGGGACGTACAAGCAGCAGTGGGCGCAAGTCACCTGGCGGAGCTCCGAAAGGCGGGTGCCACAGACGTGGTTCTGGAGAGCGCAGAGATGAGCGAGACACGTGGGGAGTAGATTGTGGTGAGGTGGGGTTGGGACGCGGTGGGACGTACAAGCAGCAGTGGACGCGAGTCACCTGACTTTTGAGGCGCCTCAAAAGGTGGGACGTACAAGCAGCAGTGGACGCGAGTCACCTGGCGGAGCTCCGAAAGGCGGGTGCCACAGACGTGGTTCTGGAGAGCGCAGAGGTGAGCGGACCTGTGAATGGAGGAGAGAGGTGGAGGAGGTGAGTGAGAACCGTGAATGGAGACAATGTCAATGTTTAGGGTTTAGGCGGGCGCCACAGACGTGGTTCTGGAGAGCGCAGAGGTGAGTGAGACGTGTGGGAGTAGGAGATTATAGCGAGGTAAGATGACGATGAGGTGATAAACCCGTGCAGCTGAAGTGTGCTGTGGAGCACAGAGGAGAGCACAGAGGAGAGCGAGAGGAATGTAGCTCATTTCTGTGCTTGGAGCCCAGCTGAATGCGAGAAGGTGATAGCAAGGTGATAGCAAGGTGATAGCAAGGTGATAGCAAGGTGATTGCAAGGTGATAGCAAGGTGAGACGAAAGGAGGAAGGGGAGGTGATACTGGCGTCACGACACGAGCAGAGTCGCCAGTGCAGCTGAGGTGGTTCTTCTTTCCTCCATGTCGTGACATGACACCATCATCATGAGGGGGATGATACTGGTGACATGACACCATCATGAGGGGGATGATACTGGTGACATGACACCATCATGAGGGGGATGATACTGGTGACACGACACCATCATGAGGGGGATGATACTGGTGACATGACACCATCATGAGGGGGATGATACTGGTGACATGAGGGGCTCTTGTGAGATGATGTGTGGTGTTCCTGCACCGTCAAATGTGTATGCCTGCTTGCTTGCATCATCCCCTCTCTTGCCACCAGACCGGACTTCGCCTGGGCTCCATGCTACTCCAAGGGATGGGGGTTATGCGAGATGATGTGGTGTTTCTGTGGCGACTTATGAGAGAGGCTCTTGACACGGAGGCTCTTGACACGGAGGCTCTTGACACAGAGGCTCTTGACACGGAGGCTCTTGACACTGAGGCTCTTGACACTGAGGCTCTTGACACAGAGGCTCTTGACACTGAGGCTCTTGACACTGAGGCTCTTGACACTGAGGCTCTTGACACTGAGGCTCTTGACACTGAGGCTGTCACCCGCCGCTCCGAATGAGAGACACCTGTTTTGGGCAATTGCAGTCTCAACCGCACCTGTTTTCTGTCCCCTCCCTCCCAACCCTCCAGGCCGGCCTTCGCCTGGGTTCCATGCTACTCCAGGACATGGGGGTGATGCGGGACGATGTGGTGTTCCTGCGATGGTAACACGTGTGCGTGCTCATGACTGTGTGTATTTCTTTCCACCTCTCCTCCCCAGGCGGGTCTTCGGCTGGGCTCCATGCTACCGCAGGACATGGGGGTGATGCGAGACGATGTGGTGTTTCTGAGGCGACTCATGCGAGAGGCTCTTGACACGGAGGCTCTCACCCGCCGCCTCATGTGTGCATGCATACTTACCCTCTTCCTCTCCCTCCCCCGCAGGCTGTCACCCGCCGCCTCATGTGTGCATCTGTCCATTTATGTGTATCCACCTCCCTCTCTCTCCTCTCCAGGCTAGTCGTAGGCTTGGCTCCATGCTACTCCAGGACATGGGGGTCATGCGAGACGACGTTGTTTTCCTGCGGCGCCTCATGTTTTTATGTGCACACACATGTGTTTGTATCCCTTCCCACCTCTCCTTAACTCCACCCAGGCCGGCCTTCGACTGGGCTCCATGCTACTCCAAGACATGGGAGTGATGCGAGATGATGTGGTGTTTCTGAGGCGACTCATGCGAGAGGCTCTTGACACGGAGGCTGTCAACCGCCGCACGGGCCAGCGCTTGCTCAAGGACAGATCTGATCTGGGCGGAAGCTGGCCGGCCAAGGAGGAGAATCTGGGCGGCAAGCGGGCGGCAAAGGAGGATTTGGGCGGCAGCAGGGTGGGGAAGGAGGGAGAGGGTGGTAGAGGAGAGGAGAGTGACAGGGAAGGTGATTCGAGTGGGGATGAGAAGGGGGAGGAGGGGGGAGGTAAGGTGAGGGGTGGAGAGGATGGGGAGAAGGTGGAGGGGAAGATTGAGGAGGGGAGAAAGAGTGGTGATGGTGGGTTGGCTGCGGTGAAAAACGCTGGGGATAAGGTAAGTGGTGCTGTTTCTGGTAGTGGTGGTGCTGTTGCTGCTGCTGCCGCGGCCGCTGCTGCTGCCGCCACCGCTGTAGTTGCTGCTGCCAGTGGTGATGCTGACACTGCTGGTGCCGCTGCCACCGCTGCTGCCACTGCTGCCACTGCTGCTGCTGCACGGGTGAAACCTGTCTCTTCAGATGCTACCGCCTCTCCTGATGCTTCTGCCGCTGCACCTGCTGCTACGCCTACATCAGGGAGTGACGGCCTGATTACACGGGCTCAAGCAATAGATGTAGCGGTTGGATTTGTCAGTGAGGTGGATGAGAAAGGGGACGCTGGTAATAATGGTGATGATGGTGATGGTGATGGTGATGGTGATGATGGTGATGGTGGTGATACTGGTGCTGCTACACCCGCGGAAGGAAGTGATGTGTTGATTACAAGAGCCCAAGCACTCAATGCAGCGGCGGCGTTCGTCACTAGTGATGACGACATCGGGGACGTTGGTACGAATGGTAATGATGGTGATGATACTGGTGGTGATGGTGTGTTGGAGGTGAAAGGGGAGCAACTAGAGGAGGCTGCAACCAGTAGGGCTGAGACTGCAAAAACGGTTTCTGGCAGCTTTACAGGCACTGCTAATGTGAAGGATGGTAATTTTGGCTTGGAAAGGGTTAGCGGTAGTGGAGAAAGTGATTCAGATCTGGAGGGGTCCGGCAGTGATGGCGTGGGAGGGGAGTCGTCCTTTTCAGCAAGCGACGATGGGCTACAGTATTTCTCTGATGGTGAGGATTTTATTGACATGAAGCTAGGTTGCAACTCCAGTAGTGGTGGTACTTCTCTTGAGCAATGAATTGAGAAAGCTTGCTTTCTTGTCCTTATAATTCAGCATCGTTCTCATTGCAACTGGCTTATTACAACATATGCATCGTTCTTAAACACATGCTAGTACATACAAATATTACTAGCTATGGAGTCGTCCGCCCAAGCAGCTGTGGTCTTGTAGTTGGTTTGGGGTGGGTGGTGGGGATGTTGATTGAGCCGTTGGAAAGCGACAAACGTGGGTGGAGGGAATGAACTCCAACCCACGGTTTTTGTAGTTGGAGAAGGGCGTTTAGCGCGCTTTGACGCTGCCAAATGTTCGGTACCGTACAAACAACTTCACTTTCAAAATACACATTTTTGAAATTACGTGTTTAAAAATTATAATATTGAGAAAGTTTGCTTTCTTGTCCTTGTAATTTGGCATCGTTCTCATTGCAACTGGGGCCTCTGAGACATGGGCAGCGGTGGCTTCCAGTTGCATAAGAGTGCCTCTGCGTGCTGTCCTGGGGGTAGTGTGTGTGTCGGGTTCTGTAGGTCGCGGTATGTCTTGATAAGATGTACTACGTGTGGTGTGACGTACATCTCTTTGGCTGTGTCACTTCGCCACCTGCCCATCGTTTTGAAGATCCTGTCCGGCACGCCGATGTTGGCTGCTACGGTCGCCGCACCCTTTCGGAAGGAGTGCGTGCCAAGCTGCTGCTCCCCAAGTCCAACCTTTGCGAATGCTTCTTTACACCAGTTTCGGATCGTTGTGTACGAGGGTGGCTTGGCCTGACCCTTGTTGGCTGATGCGTGACCAAAAACGCGAATCAGCGACCCCTCTGAATGCGGGCCATAGCCAACGAGTTGAAGGAAGCATTGGGTGCAGCGCACGGGGCAACAGGGGTCCGCCGTTGCTGCGATGGGAATCCAAGTTCCACGACCAGCCTGGTCCGTTTTTTAGTGTGGGATGAGGATCCACATGACTTCGTCGTCGAATTGGATGTCTTGCCACTGGATGGCCACCAGCTCAGAGAATCGCAAAAATCAGGAGTACATGAGGATAGGGATCAACCCCTTCTGAAATTCAGCAGGATTGTCCGACTGCAAGTAGTTCGCGGACATGTCCCGAACTTGTTGGATTGATACGGGCTCCTTCATCCGATTAGGGCGAGGGCAGTGTCGTTTCGCGTAGTCTCGCACTTGGTTGGTAAACGGTCCAACAGTCGGGCATTTGCTTCCAGCCATGCGATGGGCAAAGCTGACTGCCGAGCACGTGAGCTGCACTACAGACAAGGTTGCTCTTCGTTGGATTGCATGTACCAAGTATAGCGCGAGGGCCATGTCGGTTGCGGGAAGAAATGGGAGATCCACCTTTGTGCAGAAAGCCCAAAACTTGGCCCAGTACGGTTCGTATGTACGGATCGTTGAATATGCTCGCGCTTGTGTGAGCATGTTGATGAGTTGGTTGTGTAGCTTTGGGAGCAGATCTGGACACAAGGTGCGTACACTCTCAATTACTCAAAAACCACCTGAAGTGCGATCATTGGGCTGTGTGGTAATCTAGTGCCTGAAAAAGCAGCGGAATGTGTTCCAGCTGCCAGACATTGGCTGCCGTGTGTCATAGGAATGTGCGCGTGGATGTACGGCGCCCAGTTGCATGGGGAAGGTTGTAGAAGTGGCCACCAGTTTGCACCCGACCAGTGTGGGATGATCAGTGTGAGCGACGCATGGATGCGTTGTGCGTGATGGAGGACGGCCGGTACTAAATGGGGCGGGGGGAAAGCAAAGCTATCTTCTGATGTCCATGCGAGCGAGAATGCATCTACTGCGGTGGCTTGTGGATGAGGAATTTTCGTGCAAAAGCGTGGCAGCTGAGAGTTGCAGGAGTTTGCAAAGAGGTTGATGGAATGGGGACCCCAACGTCGTTCTAAGATGCAGAACCACGGCGTCTTCAACGAGTAGTTGTCATGATCGACTGGTTTTGAGAGCTCATCGGCGTGTGAGTTTAGCTCGCGTGGGATCCATTCGATGATTAGACGCGTGCCATGCTCCATTCATGTCCGAATGATGCCTTGGCAGGCTGTGGTAAGGTCGGGGCTGCGCGAGCCACCTTTGCGAAGGATGAAGAAGACGCCCTGATTGTCCACCCGCACAAGAACATGTTTGTGCGTGATCTTGCTGGAGTATGTTTGGAGTGCCCAAAGCACTCCTTCGATCTCCCTCCGTGTGCTGGACCTCGCGCGCAGCGGCTCTGGCATTGCTGCGCTAGCTTCTTCGAGGCCGCCAGGGAATGTGGTCAAAGTGGCGCCCCAACTGTGAGCGCTAGCATCCACATGGATTACATCATCGTATCTGTTTCGAACGTGAAACGGTGCACCGTTGAACCTATCAAACTCTTCGAGCCAGAAGTTTAGCTCCTCGGCCGCGGGTGGGGGGGTGATCACGCTGCTTTTCCATGAAGGTGCATCATTGATCACTTGTAGCATGGCGTGGCTAAAAGCACGAGCTGTTGCGCCCAGCGCGACGCCCATTGACGTGAGCATGCCTGTGATTCTGGCTACTTGGCGGACTGAGACGGGTCGACATGCCTTGCTTGCACTCAACAGGTTCCGAATGGTTGCATGTAGTGAGGCTCGTTGTTCGGGACCGATGGTAAATCGACCGGTGGCCGTGTCCAGCTCCACACCCAAGAATCGAAGGTGTTGCGATGGTGACAGCTGTGATTTCTTCGCATTTATCACCAAACCCGCTGCTTTAAGGTCCAGTATTACAGTGTGGCAAGTGGCCTGCGCGTGGGCTTTTGACTGGCAGAGGAATAAGATGTCGTCCACATATGGTACTACTCGAATGCCTTGCTCCCGCCAGCAACGGGCTAGCTGCTTGATGAGTTGCGTGAAGACGAATGGGGCTGTCGCAAGACCGAACGGAAATGAACGAAAGGAGTAAGTGCACCCATCGAATCCAAAACCGAGAAACTTCTAGCATGAGGGATGGATGTCGATGTGATGGTACCCGGATTTGAGATCAATAGAAAACATCAAATCCCCAGCGCATGCCATGTTTGCCACGCAGCTGAGTCCTTCGTACTTGAATTTTGGAACGATGATGTTTGCATTGACTTTTCTCAAGTCGAGGATGAGCCTGCATTTTTCTCTTTGCTCGACCACGTTAAGTGGGCTTATGCACGTAAGCTTGATTACGGCTGTCTTGATTGCAGCTCCGTGTCAAATTATAATGTTGTGTAGGCTATAGTGGGGTAGCCCATATGGGGTACACATTTCTAGGGCTGCATATTTGTATCACTTCCATTCCATAGTGATTCATTCTCGTTCTAATTTTCTCATGGTATCGAGCAGGTTCCCCCGTGGGGACTGTGCCTAGGGCCCACCACATCGAGTTTTTTTTTCCTGCCCGAAGCGCGCTCCGCCCGAGTCGCGCTCCGGGCTCTCACCTCGTCGAGCCGCCCTAGCGCCCCCCTACGCCCTAGCGGCCCCTACGCCCTAGCGGCCCCGCCGCCCGTCGATTCGGCCCCGCCGCCCTTTGTTGCGGCCCCGCCGCCCGTCTCAGCGGCCCCGCCGCCCTTCGTTGCGGCCCCACCCTCCTCAGCGGCCCCGCAGCCCTTCGTTGCGGCCCCACCCTCCTTAGCGGCCCCGCCGCCCTTCGCTGCGGCCACGCCGCCTCACATTGCGGCCCCGCCGCCCTTCACTGTGGCCCCACCGCCCCTCGCTAAGGCCCCGCCGCCAGTCTCACCGGCCCCGCCGCCCTTCACTGCGGCCCCGCCGCCCGTCGCTACGGCCCCGCCGTCTCTCTCGCAGCGGCCCCGCCGCCCCTCACAGCGGCCCTGCCGCCCGTCGCTGCGGCCCCGCAGCCTCACACTGAGGCCCCGCCGCCCGTCGCTGCGGCCCCGCCGCCCGTCTCAGCGGCCCCGCCGCCCTTCGCTGCGGCCCCGCCGCCTCTCTCGCTGCGGCCCCGCCACCCTTCTCTCCGGCCCCGCCGCCTCTCTCACTGCGGCCCCGCCGCCCTCCTTAGCGGCTCCGCCACTCTTCACAGCGGCCCCGCCGCCCTTCACTGCGGCCCCACCGCCCCTTTCACTGCGGCCCCGCCGCCCTACCAGCGGCCCTGCCGCCCTACGCCGCCCGAGCCGACCGAGCCGCCCGACCCGCCCGACCCGCCCGACCCGCCCGAGCCGCGCGAGCCGCCCGCGCCGCCCAAGTCGCCCGAGCCGCCTGAGCCGGCCGAGCCGCCCGAGCCGCTGAGGAGCCGAGCCGCTGGTGCCGCAGAGCCGCAGTTGTTGCTGAGCCGTCTGAGTCGCCCGAGCTGCCGTGTTGCTGTGCTGCTGAGCTGCCCGAACCGCCCTGTCTGGTGAGAGCAGCGCTTCTGTCACTGCACTGCCCCTGTCCTACAGTTAGTACTGCTAGTCTACTGCTGTCATGGCTACCCCCAGTGCTCTCGCTTTTGACGCTGAGGGTCGGGCCATTGACTTTGACGTTTGGGTAGATGATCTGCAGCTTTTCCTACAGTGCGATAGGGCAGACGGTCTCTCCCTCTTTGACCTCACCTCTGGCGCCTCCCCTGCCCCTGCTGCTGACGCTGACGCCACTGTTCGCTCCTAGTGGGCCACGCGCGATGCTGCTGCACGTCTTGCTGTGTGTCGCCTCCTGCCTACCTCTGAGCGCACGCACTTTAGTCAGTACAAGAGTGCTCAGACCTTGTACGACGCTGTAGTTGCGCGCTACTCTTCCCCTGCCACTGCTGCACTGAGCCGCCTCATGCTACCGTACCTCTTTCCTGACCTTGCTGCCTTTCCTACAGTCGCTGACCTCATTACGCACCTCCGCACTAGTGACACTCGCTACCGCGCCGCGCTTACTGCTGAGTTCTACACCACGAACCCCCCCCCATGTACATCACTCTCTATTTTATAGTCACCCGCCTCCCTGACTCCCTTCGCGTAGTCAGGGACCACTTCCTCTCAGTCTGTCCCACCACTCTCACTGTTGACCTCCTAGAGAAGGCCCTCCTAGCAGCGGAGAAGAGCATCGTCGCTGTAGGAGCCTCTCGTGGTGACCCTCGCACCCCCATCTTTTAGGGGTGTTCCCCTTCCCCCTTGTTGCCCTCTGTCGCCTCTGCTGCTGCGGCCGACCTCGTTGATCTTGCGTCGGTCGGTGCGGCGTTTGCCCTTAGCGGGAGACGCCGCTCTGGCAAGGGCAAGGGGGGCAAGGGCGCGGGTGGAGCTGGCGGCAGCAGTGGAGGTAGCGGTGGAGGCGGCGGAGGGAGTGTGGGTGGCGGTGGGAGTGGTGGCAGGGGTGGAGGAGTCGGTGGCGGCAGTGGAGGCGGAGGCGGCGGAGGCGGCGGCGGTGCTAGTGGAGGCGGCGGTGGTGGCGGAGGTGGAGGAGGCAGTGGTGGAGGAGGTGGAGGTGGTAGGGGTGGCGCTTCGCAACGGAGCAGCTCTGGTGGTGGTCAACGCCAGCAGCAGCAGCAGCAGTAGCAGCGTTCTCGGGACATTCCCCCTCCTCAGCAGCTCCGTGAGTTGTACACGCAGCGTCAGCGTGGTGGGGGTTTTGGTCCGTGCACCTACGTCCTTCGCTCCGACGACCGCGCGGGTGAGCAGTGTGGGGGTGCCCACCCCACCCAGCGCTGCTTTGGCCGCCTGACGGACGCTTGGCGTCAGCAGTTCCCGGAGGCTAGTGAGATCCCCCGCTGGGGAGAGCTGTCTAGGGCAGGTGTAGCTATCTATGATCTTGACTTTGATGCTATCATTGCTGCCATGTATGCTGTGACTATTAGTGATGAGGGTGACTGTTACCGGTGTTTCCCGCCCGACCCGGGCATTGGTATTGCTGCTCTAGGTGCTGGTGAGGCTGCTACTCTAGGTGCCAGTGTGTTTGCGCCCTCAGGTGCTGGTGAGTCTGCGCTCTCAGGTACCACGTCGGCTTCGGCCTCCCTCACCTTCACACTGCAGACAAGCTGTCCCCTCGTGCAGCTCCTTGTGTCTTCCTTGGCTTCCCCCCTGACGCACCAGGGTGGCAGTTCTACCACCCCTCCTCTCGTCGTGTTCTGTCCTCCCAGGACGTCACGTTTGATGAGTCGGTCCCCTACTACCGTCTCTTCCACTACCGCACTCCTTCCCTCCCCCCGCCGCCGCACTTCCTTGTGCCAGGTCCCCCCCAGGTAGACCCCCTCCCCCCTCAGAGTCCTGCCCCTTCAGGTGTGTCCCACGTAGACACAGTCGACCCGGTCGAGGTTGCTGGTGACTCTTGTACTGCTGCGGGTGCTGAGCCTGGGGGTGCTGACTCTGGGGGTGCTGCGCGAGTGGGTGCTGAGCCTGGGAGTGCTGAGCCTGGGGGAGCTGCGACTTGGGGTGCTGAGCCTGGGGGTGCTACGACTGGGGGTGCTACGACTGGGGGTGCTGAGCCTGGGGGTCCTTCGCCTGGGGGTGCTACGTCTGGAGCTGCTGAGCATGGGGGTGCTGCTTCTGGCGCTGCTGAGCCTTGGGGTGCTGAGTCTGGAGCTGCTGAGTCTGGGGGTGCGGAGCCCGCGGCCGCTAGAGCTGCTCGTGTGGCGTCTGGCGATGCTGGGCCTGGTGGTTCTCCGGGTGCTTCGTCTTGTCGGGAGCCACTCTCTCCACAGGAGCTGCGCGAGTGGTTTGCCTGGCGCTAGAGGCGTACTACTGGAGCTGGTGCTTCTTCGGCTGCTGAGGGTGCTGGTGCCGCCGGTCTCGGAGGTGCTAGTCGTGGGAGTGCTAGAGCTACTGGGCCTGCGAGTGCGACTGGAGTCGGAGCTGCTGAGGGTGTTGGTGCTGAGGCTACTGCTGTCAGTCCTGGCGGCGGTCCTGCTGTGGGTGCTGCCGGTGCTGCTGGAGGTACTGGAGCTGGAGGTGCTGTTGGCGCTGGTGCTGCTGCTGGGGGTGCTGGTGCTGTCCCTGCTGTGTCTGGAGTTGCCGCGCGGCCTCGGCCGTACTTTGTTCCGCTCCTTCAGCAGGTTCTTGGTCTTCCTCCTCCCTTAGAGTGTCCACCGCCTGTCCAGTCACCGTCACAGTTACCGCCGGCCTCTCCACTCCTTGCTCCTTCTCCCTACACTAGTCCTACTGGAGGTCTCGCTGAGCGTCGTGAGCTTGCGTCTCGTCCTGCGTCGCCTGTTCGTGCTGCTCGTGCTAGTGGTCGCGGCTCGCGCCAGCGTCCTCCTCCTGTCCGTGGCACGCACCGGATGTCTCTGCGTCCGTCCACTGCTCCTCTGCGTGCCCCTTTGCCTTCTCCTCCTGAGTCCTCTCTTCCTGCCCTTGCCGACCCGGAGTCGGACTCTCTTCGTGCTGCCTGTCCTACTGTCACGCGTCTCCTTGCTACTGTCGTCACTGACCCCTCTTTTGAGTCCACTGCTGCGTCTGCTCTTGTTGCTGAGCTCGTCGACTTTGTTGCTCGCTGTTGTCTAGACTACGCTGCTAGTCTCGTTGCTGAGTCTGCGTCTGTCCGTCCTCCGTCCGTCGGGGGCGGGTGTGCTCTTGGCACGGACGTCCTTGAGGACAGGCAGGAGGAGTTCCAGTGTCTGGCTGCTCCTTCACCTCATCTCGTTTCCGTACTGCTTACCCCTGAGGGAGACCCGGATACACTTGACATCCCGACTCCGCGCTCTTACGCGGAGGCCGTAGAGGGTCCCTACTCCTCTTAGTGGCAGGCAGCTATGGATGCAGAGATGGCTTCCTAGAAGTCCACAGGCACCTACGTTGACGCGGTTCCCCCTACTGGGGCGAACATCGTCAGTGGCATGTGGATCTTCAGGGTGAAGCGGCCGCTCCCCACCTGTCTTCAAGGCGCGGTACGTGGCTCGTGGCTTCAGTCAGCGGCAGGGAGTTGACTACTTTTAGACCTTCTCTCCCACCCCGAAGATGACCACTCTTCGGGTGCTGCTACACATAGCCGCTCAGCGTGACTACGAGCTTCACTCCCTTGACTTTTGCACTGCTTTCGTGCAGGGTAACCTGCACGAGGAGATCTGGCTGCGTCGTCCACCTGGCTTCACTGGGACTTTCCCTCCTGGCACCCAGTGGAGCCTCTGACGGCCAGTCTACGGTCTCCGCCAGGCACCGCGCGAGTGGCACGACACACTGAGGACTAGACTTGCGGCTCTTGGGTTTGCTCCCTCTACTGCCGACCCGTTGCTGTTTCTACGCACCGACACCTCTTTGCCGCCGTTCTACATCCTCGTGTACATCGACAACTTGATCTTTGCCACTGCTGACACTGCTGGACTCCCCTATGTGAAGTCTGAGCTGCAGAAGAGACACACGTGCACAGACCTTGGTGAACTGCGCAGCTACCTTGGCTTGCAGATCACCAGGGACAGAGCACGCCGCACCATTACCTTGACTCAGTCACACATGGTGCAGGAGGTCCTTCAGCGCTTCGGCTTCACGTACTCCTCGCCTCAGGCCACTCCTCTGCCTACTCGCCACTCGCTCTCAGCTCTGCCTTCGGATGAGTCCGTAGAGTCGAGTGGCCCGTACCCAGAGCTTGTTGGCTGTCTCATGTACCTGATGACCTGCACACGACCTGACCTTGCATACCCTCTTAGCATTCTTGCACGCTATGTTGCTCCTGGGAGACACAGACCGGAGCACATGGCTGCAGCGAAGAGGGTGTTGCGCTACTTGTGCAGTACGTCGGGCATGGGGCTAGTGCTTGGAGGGCAGAGTCCAGTGGTCCTCACTGGGCACGCAGACGCTTCTTGGGCTGACGACCAGGCTACGCAGCGGTCGTCACAGGGTTACACCTTCAGCCTTGGTTCCGGCTCTGTTTCGTGGTGGGCTACTCGTTCGTCTTCTATTCTCGGCTCCAGTTGTGAGGCCGAAATCTACGTCGGGGCCATGGCTGCACAGGAGCTTCGCTGGCTTACCTACCTGCTGACCGACCTTGGAGAGCCGCCTCGTTCTCCTCCAGTGCTGTACGTAGACAACAAGGCCATGCTGGCCTTGTGTCGAGAGCAGAGACTGGAGCACAGAACAAAGCACATTGCTCTCCGCTACTTCCTTGCTCGTGAGCTACAGCAGCGTGGTTAGCTGCGGCTTGCATACGTGGCCTCTGAGGCCAACAGTGCTGATGTTTTCACCAAGGCACTTGCGCCTTGTGATCATCAGCGCTTCTGTGCTCAGCTTGGTCTTGTGCCTGTCTTGCCTCACTTGCTCACTTCTTGACCTTGCTTGTACTGTTACATATATATACTCCTGCTCTTGCTTGCTTAGCCTCTTATATATATGTGCTCCTGCATGTGAACTGGCCTTCTGGCCTTGAACTTGTGCTCGGAATGTGTGTTGACTTTGTGATCCACCCTGAGCTTTGCTTTGCTTTGTTTGACTGGTCTTGTGACCCCTTGTTCTCCCCCACTTTGCCTATGGGGGTGTGTCAAATTATAATATTCTGTAGGCTATAGTGGGGTAGCCCATATGGGGTACACATTTCTAGGGCTGCATATTTGTATCACTTCCATTCCATAGTGATTCATTCTCGTTCTAATTTTCTCACTCCGGTCTGTGTAAGTTCTTGGATGGCAGTACGTGTGAACGTAGCATGCGCGTATACACCAGCGTGGTTACGCTCCTGGAAGGCCTGTGGTGGACCGTGGCTCCATGGAAGCCAGTAATCGTTGGCGATTATGGGTAGGACGAGGGTGCAAGGGCACCATGAGCTCCACCACGCAAAGGTCGAGCGAAAACGACCGCACATCCGTATGACGGTTTTGTCCGTGACGGCAAATTCGTACGGGCCATCGTCGCAAGGCACCTTGTATTGTTGTGCTCCTGTATGTAGGACAGGGAAATGAACGAGACCAATCAAGTTACACGCCTTAATTAGTGAATGCGTGTGACATATACATGCATGCGCGAAAGATGAACCGTCAACAGTGAGAACCATACGGATGGTTTATTCTCATTCCATATAGGGCGTCCGATCGCACCGTTGCAAACTCTTTCCCGTACTCTCTCCTGTTCCCTCCCCTCTTCGTGATATATATATATATATATATTGTTACCTTGCTGTAGGATTGATGCTTGGGACCATGATCATGCTCCCCTCTTGATCTCTCTCTCTCTCTCTCTCTCTCTCTCTCTCTCTCTCTCTCTCTCTCTCTTCCTCTCTCTCTCTCTCTCTCTCTCTCTCTCTCTCTCTCTCTCTCTCTCTCTCTCTCTCTCTTCCCCTCTCTCTCGCCCTTTTTGGTTTTCCAAAGGTTGAACCAGAGCTGCCCATCCTTGTGATGCATGGTGGCGGTTTGAGTGAGGAACGTGCGTACTCTCTTTTTCTCCCTCTCCCCTTCTCCTTCTCGCGTTTCGCCCCCACCCTTTTGGTTTTTTTTTTTTTTTTTAATCCTTCACAAACTAAAGGGGGCCTTAAATAAAATCCCTATCTCTCATGGTCATACATTGTCATGCATACTAGCATGCTTCTCATCCCATCAATTGGGGCATACGGGGGACCGAGAGGCATTCTTCCTCTTCCCCAAAGCTAGGCCTACGGCCATACTTTATTACCCTATCCTAGGGGACCGAGAGGCATTCTTCCTCTTCCCCAAAGCTAGGCCTATGGCCAAATTCTAACACCCTATCCTAGGGCTGGCCATGGCCACCGCAAGCCCTACTAGGCTGCCCACGGTCTAAGCACTCAAGAGTGCATCGTGCATCGCGCCTAGTGGCGCGCTTCACCATAGCCCGAACCCTACACAACCGGTGCGGGTCCTTGGCCCCCATGCCCATTCCGAGGGCAGGCATTGGCGACGTGGCCTGGCTGGCCGCAGCGGAAATACGAACCACGAAAGCCTTGGAAGTTGCCCGAGGTTGGAGGGCC